GATGTAGCTTAAAAATAATCCATTAGCAAAAATCAATAAAGAATCACAGCACAGTGAAGTGAATTATTTTTAGTTGTGGCACAGCACACCGCTGACCTCTGCTTTTAACCTATCACCAAAGCCAGCAGGGGGCAGCATTGTTGGGGGGGATGGTGGTGCCATGCTTCCTTAACCACCAAGCCACCGCTGCCCCCTAGCTGTAAATTCTAGGGAATTGTTCCAAACCCTCTGAGAAGCACAGAGGGCAGAATGTTCTGACCTCCTCCTCACTGGTCACTTCCTGTCCAGGTGACCGTTCAGTACAGACAGGACCGAGGAGCCATGGTGCCGCTGCGCGTCCACACCGTTGTGGTGTCCGTGCAGCACGACGAAGACATATGTCTGGAGGAGATGCGTCGTTGTCTGAAGGAGCAGGTGGTGCGCGCCGTGATCCCTGCAGGATACCTGGACAACGACACCATCTACCACCTGCAGCCCAGTGGACGCTTCGTCATCGGTGGACCTCAGGTGAGGGCGATTAAAGCGTGACGTACAGTAGCTGTGCCAGGAGGGGTCGCTCCGCATCAGTGTTTGGTGTTATTAAACTTCCCCCCCTGCACTCTATACCTGTTCCTTCCTGAAGGGCGACGCTGGTCTGACAGGGCGTAAGATCATTGTGGATACTTACGGGGGTTGGGGGGCACATGGGGGTGGAGCGTTCTCTGGGAAAGACTACACAAAGGTAGACCGCTCGGCTGCCTATGCCGCGCGCTGGGTGGCCAAATCTCTGGTCAAAGCCGGACTCTGCCGACGTGTGCTGGTGCAGGTGAGTACCTGTGTAGTTTCCATGGTACCGTTTCAGCTTCTTTGTTCTTGTACCAGATTGAACCGACTGACTCGGCTGTTTTTAGGTGTCCTACGCTATTGGAGTGGCCCATCCTCTCTCCATCTCCATCTTCAGCTATGGAACCTCTCAGATGAGCGAGAGAGAACTCCTGGATGTCGTGAAGAAAAACTTCGACCTGCGTCCTGGAGTCATCGTGAGGTAGCGTTGATGGTCGTTATGTTGCTGATTTAGTGATATTTTTTAGTTGCCACGACTCCAGTTTGGCAACGTTGTGTGGCAGAAGCGCTTGGCGCTGTTGCCTTACAGCATGAAGTTCATCATTCACTGGTTCGGTCCAGTTCGGTTCATCAGCCATAAACAAAATAAACTCTAAAATGATGTGGCGGTCCAGAATTTGTCCCGCGGGCCTTGACTTTGACATATGTGGGTTAAATGCAGGGGACACGTTTTGTTGAGTATATTTACAAATGTCAAATGTACAATGGCCCTGTGATACACTGACGGCTGTCAGGTGTGTAACTGCGCCCCCGTCTGGTGGCTGCTGGGATAAGCAGTGACGCCAGACAACGATGAAGCTGTAGCAGATGAATGAATCACTGAAAAATAAATGTTTTTTTTTCCTCTCCGGTTTCAGAGACCTTAACCTGAAGAAGCCCATCTACCAAAGCACAGCCGCCTACGGCCACTTCGGCCGCGACTCCTTTCCGTGGGAGGTGCCCAAGAAGCTGAAACAGTGAAATCTTCCCATTGGCCTTAAATGTGGCCTTAAAGGTGTTCTCACAGTTTATAAAGTGTGTGTTTGTCTCACCTTCTTCCTCCTCCTCCTCCTCCTCGTCCTCCTCCTCTTAAACGCACAGTCCACACCACTATGGCCTCTCTCTCTCCCCCACTCTCTCACCCACTCTCCTCCTGAGGTCACGTACTTTGATTTGTCCCAGCGTATTCGAGCGGAGCTGTTGACCTCCATTCAAATTGACCAGTGTCAGATCTTCACACTGATGGACCAGTATTGACCAGTTAAAATCACCTCCTACTTCAGGAGTTTCCCCCAAATCTGCGCACGGAGAAACCTCTCCGTCCTTTTAGACCATGTGACTGACCAACCAGTTTGTTTAAGTCAAACTTAAACTCCCGTTATATCTTTCACTGTTCCACGAATGGAAGTCACATCGTTTGCCACGTAAAAATATGAATATAAATCGTTTTCACGCGTGCCGTCCCTTCAGACCATGATCATTTTTTTTCTGACGTTTTACAGAGAAGTCAGAAGCTGCTATATGGTCGTGTCGGTTCGCACCGTGAGACAGTTCCACTTTTCCTATTCTGTTGTGTTGGTTTGATATAATGTGAATCTTTCAGATAGTGTCAACGTTCTGCTGATCAAAAGAAGGCGTTCCGACCCTGGGACACAGGCCTGACTCTGGGTGTCTCTACAGAAAAACCCAGACTCGGTCTCTGCTGCCCTGGGGCACGTGGCATGGATATGATGTTATACTTGAAATTATTTATAATATATTTGACCAGCAAAGCATGAGAGCGCAGTGCTAACACACGCCGCACGTCCCGACCCGTCCTGAGTTGCACTAGAACATCGTTCACTGGGCTGTTAAAAAAAAAAAAATAGAAGGTACAGATCTGACCGAGGTGCGAGGAGCTTCTCAGTGAACGTAAGACGGGGTTTGAGCTCAGTTCCTGTTTGTTGAAACGCTCGACACGTTAGCCAATCGACAACAAGGCCGCTGTGTTCCTCTGCTGTTAACTCTTGAATGAATGTCGAGCTCAATGGTTAAGCGTTTCTTTATTTATTTATTCTAGGTTTTTTTTTTTTTAAATATAGAATTATCGAGGGAATAAGTCAGAAGGTTCCAGCCTGTTACTGTCGCTTTCTATTTTTGTCAAAGACCTTGGTCGGATTTGAACTGAGTCTGTACTGAAAGCCTGGGCTAAAGCTTTAAATACTTTCCCAGTTGCAGTCAAAATGTTTTTAATGTTTAAATACAAAGAAAATCCAAGTCAGAAATTCATACTCAATTAGTCGTCTCTCAAAGCTACGTGAATGTAGTTCACTCTTCAACTTTCTTCTAAGTCCAAGTTAAAAAAACAAAAACATTGAAGTCCTTTTTTTTTATAAATAGCACTGACTCCAAGTCCTTTAATATTGGGTTAGTGTAAAATAACTATTAATTACTCTGTTAAAATTATTAATTGTGTCTTAAAGTTATTCCATTCGAGCCCAACGCCTTTAAGAATGCACTGATACATCACTTTAAATGTAAACAAACATTTAAAAAATATATATATATTCGTAAATTTACCAGTAAATTACAAGTACAGTCGGCTCTGTTTCTAGACCCCAGGCATTCTTTCTTTATTTAAAAAAAAAGCCACAGAAAGTTCTAGAACACAGCACTAATGTGAGTGACGTCATTTGGACTGGATTTGTTTCTCCTATATTGTGACGGTTATCGGCGAAAAGTAAAGTTAGCCATAGCATTATCTTAGCCTGCCCGGCGTTATGACACATTCGTGGACCACGATAGTTTACCCCCGATGTTTGAATGTCATAGGTAGAGGGCGCTGTGTCGGCTTGAAAAATGTTAAGATATTTTTTCTACTTCCGCTTAGCGAAGTAGAATGTCAGACACTGATTTCACCCAAGGTGTTGTGAGTGTACCTTCAGAAGGGCAGCCAAAGGGTGGCGCTATAGGGCCGTTGTATACGTGAGTGAGTCGGTCCGTGTTAAATCTCCTCAGTAACGTTCGCTTCCTGTAACTCAGCGGTCACAGACCAACGCTTGGTTGGTGTTGTACAGAGAAACCAACTGGTTTACATGGTCTGTTGATGGTGCGTTCAAGGAACTATGTTATTTTCTATGATTTTTTCTTTTTTTTTTTAATTTTGTCTTGAATGTTTAAAAGTGCCTTTCTCTGCAGTGTCCTCCCCCCCAACACACACACTTCCCTTTACTCCCTCCCCCCCCCCCCCCCCCCCCGAATAACTCCGAGGAAACCAATCCGACAGTTGTTGTTGTTGTCCTTCAGTGGTTTACGACAATAACGAACGTTTTGTGTTGACTTTTTACTTCGAATCCTTCAAATAAACTGTGCACCTGATCGTGTTTATGGGAGTTACTGCTGCCTCGTTCTTTAATCACCACTGCCTCGAATCTCCTGACGTTAAAAATATAATTATATGATGGTAAATAAACAAGAAAAAAAAAGTTCAATATGTAGCAGGGGCGCCGAGTTATGTCTCCGTGGTTGCTCGATAATCTCCGTGGTTGCTCGATAATCTCCGTGAATCGGCGCCTATGGTATGTAGTTCTTTGCAGTAGTTGTCCGTGTGCCCTGTGGTTTGTCACAGTATTGCACCCCAAGGTGGGATTTTAAGATTTTAAGCCTTTCAATTAAACAGTATTGTGTATGAAACGATTTACACAAATACCGACCAAAGTATAAACATAAATAAATTTTAAAAAACGACACTTGACAAATATTTGTTATGCAGTATATGTATGTATTTATAAGATAGCTGGTAGAAAATTGTAATACAATTAAAAATATTTGCAAATGCAAGCACTGCATACAGAACCTTTGACAAAACAAAAATGATGAATAGACGTTAAATGTTTGTCGGATTTTCCAGCTGTGGATTGAATATTCAGTTGAAGTACATAGTATTTTTCAGTATCTGACTGACCTGATCCGCTGGAATCTGGGTTCACACGTCCACAAGTTTAAATTTAGCGTTTTGTTTCCACTACATTTAAAGTGTTTTGGCTAATTGTGTTAGCTGTTGGCTAACTTTAAGCAGTTTGTCAGCTAGCATTTCATTACACAGTGACTAACTTTTTGTTTTTTCTTCTATATCGTGAGTGAGGACTTGTCACATTCAGTTATGTTTAGGCACTGATGCTAGCTGCTCTGATGCTAATCTCCTTTATTATATGATGTTTGTAATTAGTTTCAGCGTTGAGTGTTTTATGGTTTTGTCATTTGGTCTGTTTCACTAATTATATATATATGTATATATGTGTATATATATATATATATACATATATATGTATATATGTATATATATATATGTGTA